GCAGCTGCCCGAGCGGCCGCGAGGGCGGCTGGAACCGCCCCATCGGGCACACCTCGAGCGCGCCACGGTCGACAGGGGCACGGGAGGAGGCGGAGCTGGAGGAGCGGAGCGGAGGGAAGCGGAGGGCAGCGGAGGGAGTCGGGACGAGGAACGAGGGGCAGGAGGAGGGACGAGGACGAGGGGGGAAAAGGGAGGAGGGGGAGACGCGGAGGCGGAAACTGAGAGGGCGCGCGGGGAGGACGGGAGGGGAGGGGAGATGGGAATGCTGATTTGCCCCCGCCAGCGGGACCTGCCCGAAACGAATCAAGCAAAGAAAAAGGCTCCCCCTGTACGTGGGCCATCTTAGGGCGCTCACCCTGAAAAGTTTACTCTAAGAACCGTTGGCGAAGTTGGAGGCAGGAACTTTCGGGCAATATGTGTCCCAACACTCCTGCGGAGGTTGGATCCCTGCTTTGAATCAACAGCGCCCCGCATTCTCTCCTCCTCATCCTGCTCCTCCTCCCGCTCCTCCCCCTCCCCTCCCTGCCTCTGCCCTGAGCATGTCTATCCGAGCGCACTTCGCACACGTTTCGTGGCCCCATGCGGAGCTTCACCTAAGACCCCAGTGGCAGGGTTTGCATGCCGCCGCCTCGCCCATTCCAGCACACCCCTCGCACGCTTCGTGGCCCCGTGAACAGACGGTAGCTCCATCGAAGGCCCAGGTTGCAAAGTTTGCATGTCGCCGCCCCGCCGCGGCCCCGTACGGAGCTCCACCTGAAGCCCCAGCGGCAGGGTTTGCAGGCCGCCGCCCCGCCAATTTCGGCACCCCCCTCGCGCGTTTCGTGGCCCCCATCCGCACCGCCCCGGGCCTCGCCCCCCTCGTGGCGTGCCACGTACGAGGAGGAAGTACACTTCCTGCGTGAATCGCAGTTGCACAGGGTTGGGCCCCTCGGCAGGCCAGCCTGGACGCTGCGAAACTGGCCCATTGCTGCGCACGAAAGTGCATGTCCAGCGGGCGCAGGGCCACGAGCCACCACCGCGAGGGGAAGCCCGCGGGCGAGTGCCCGCGCGGCCCAGATCCCGAGGGCAACCGCAGGCAGCTCGCCAGGACGTCCTCCGCCCCGAGGCCTCAGCCTCTGAACGCTTCGGAGCGAGGGGAAGGGGGACGGGGACGGGGGAACAAGGAAGGCTCAGGCAGGAGGGAGGAGGCGGAGCAGCAAGAGCGAGGCGGAGGGAAGCGGAGGAGAAAGAGGATGGAGAGGAATGAGGAGGAGGAGGAGGAGGAGGAGGAGCAGGAGGAGCAGGAGGCGGAGGAGCAGGAGGAGGAGGAGGAGGAGGAGGAGGAGGAAGACGAGGAGGTGAGAGAAGAAGGGGGATGGACGGTAGAGGAAGGGGGAGGAGGAGGGGCAGGGGGGACGGACGGGGAATGAGGAGGGCGCACGGTGCACCGCACGTCCTGGAGGGCCCCGGGGTCGCGCAGGGCCTGCGAACAGCAAGGGCCCCCCGAGAGGCTCGCCGGTGGCGCAGCAGCTGCAGGGCGCGAGGGGGCAGAGGCGGAGGGTGAGGCGGCTGCGCCGCCGCATCGGCTACACGCAAGAGTGACCCTGGGTAAGAGTGACCTTTGGTGCGCGGCTTTTTGTGGGCCGCGGGGGGACCAAACCTGGGCGCGCAAGCCGCTGCTCCTGCCTCGTCTTCAGCCATCTGGGGACCCACCTGTGCCCGCACCAGAGGTCACTCCGGCGAAAGGTCACTCTTACGTCTAGTCGACCGCAGCTGGCACGCCAACCTGGCGGACCCCGCCCCGGCGCCCCAACAGCGCCACGGCGTGGAGCGGAGAGTCTCGCGGGCGGCCAGCACATCCGTCTCCACGCTCTCGCGGTCTGGGATCGGGGGCGGAGTCCTGTGGGTACGCGGTCGCATGGAGACGTGCCGCGCGGGGCATCCGCGAAGCAGCTCCTCGTATCCACGGGAACGTGGGCCCAGGGGCCGGGCCCGCGAGGCCGCGGATGCGGGTATGCTTTCCGACCACGAGAGTGGGCACGGCCATCCAGAGCCACGTGGCGAAACTGGCGGCGCAGCGCGCGTGGTGGGACAAAGAACGTACAAGAAGGTATCGCCCACAAGGCACGTCTGCACACGTGGCAACCGTTGGAAACGTCAAAGAATACTACTGGTACGGATTGTTATGGTTGGCAGTCGCGTCCGCAGGCTCGTCCGCCAGTGTGCCACTGCAGTGCACCTTGCAGGCGTCGCGGTGCGCCGATGCTTCTCCTTCGCCTGGTTAGACGTATACGCACGACCAAACCAACTTCCCAAAGGGACGAATGGAGTCCTCTGACTCTGTCGCAACCAAGACGAGCAATAGAGGCTTTGCGGGTTGCTGCCCAGCACAATTCATGGGCGCAACCCTTGGCCACATGGAATCGTCAAACCTTCACGCGGAGGGAGGGAGGATGGAAGGGAAGGAGGGAGGCAGGACCGAGGACGCAAGACGGAGGATGGAGAAGGAGGACGGAGGATG